TATAAACAGATAGGGTTTATTTATCACAGAACTTAGCAATCAGACCAGAAAAGACATTAAACAAGAAATCCTATGGCTCTGTGGCCCTTACTAAACATTAAAGATATTCATAGTTACCAGGGTAGTCGATAGTCAAGATAGTCCATGGGAATAAAGTCCAGTTAAGTTTCATCTTTGTGCCAATATGCAGCCATGTGTTGGGCTGCACCCCAGAATCCTTTGTCTGCCAGCCACATGGCAGAGACAAAGCATTTCAAGAATAAGTCCACAGACAGCAGATAACAGGAACAGAACAGCAAGCAGAAAATCTGAGCTCGTGTCTTTGTGTTCAGACTGATAAAGGGCAATTTCAGGATTCAAATGACCCTGGCCAGGAGCCAATTGAACAAGATCTGAAATTGTCCAAGTGTCTTGAGTGGTCAGTAGTATTGAAGCCCCACCTGCAGAATGTGACTCCAAACTCTTAACCACTCCTCTATGTTGGTACGTGACTCCTGGCATCTAGGCACAACCAGGCTCCAGTAAGTCTGGCAGAAGTGTGAAACATGTGGGGTTATATGGTATGGCAATTGAGCAAATGGTCGGGCCTAGGAAGCTAGAACACCAGGGGGTGAGGCAATTACATTCCAAGAGGGGAAACATGGAACCTTATAGCAACAACAGAGATACAGAAGGTTAAAGGAATCACACAAGGGATACATGAAAGCTATAGGAATCAATATTTCTAAATATTTCTATACAGGTGGCTTTAAAGGAACTGATCACAGCCGCACTGGAGGAGGGTCAGGGAGCTCCCGTTCGCTGCTTGGAGAGTGGCCAGTCACTCCCAAGTCACCAACCTTCCTCCCATCCCTGCCCCACAATGTTAAATTGGACATGTGGGTCTGAAATGGATGGAAAAGGGTGTCTAGGAGTGGAGGTGTAGCTTGGGGTTGGAGCCATGGTTTGGCTGTGCAAAGCCTGCTTTGCATGCAGCAAATCCCAGGCTCAGCCCCCAGCAGGTGAGATTGGCTGAGAAACTGGAGAGCTGCTGCCAGTCAGAGTAGGTAGTATTGAACCTGAACTACTTGGGTCAGTGGTCTGACCATTTCCTGTAGGATACATGGGCTTCTTCCCTGCTTTAGGGAAGGTGATTGACCCTTCTTCCTACCCCTCGCCTCCACCCTGCAAGACCTCTGTTTACTAATTCCAAAGGGCTGACAGGGATTTTTGTATCCGAAATACCTTTTGTCCACCTGGAGCCCCAGTTCTGACCTAGCGATCTGGTCCATGCGGCAACTTGAATGACTGTCGTTTCTTCTCTTCTTTGCAGGGGTTACTTCCCTCTTGTGAAGAGACTTCCCACACTAGTGCATCAAAATAACATCCTGGAGAAGATCTGTCGAAACCCAAGAGCTAGTGAGCAGTGGACAAGAAGCACAAAAAGATCCAACCAGATCGCTAAAACTTTTTAGTACAGTTCTGAGTTGTAACTTAGCCAGCCAAGAGAATTCTGGTTGAGTTCTTACAGTGGAGCTTTTAAGATGTGGCTTGTAGTAGAGAAATGTGAAATAAAAAGAGATGGTTTATTTTAATCTACAACTTGGTTTCTTGTCTACATTTTTTAAAATTCTGGAGTGACCAGATAAGGTAGAAGAAGAAGAAGAAGAAGAGATTGGATTTATACCCCGCCCTTCACTTGGAGTCTCAGAGCGGCTTACAAACTCCTCTCCCTTCCCCTCCCCACAACAGACACCCTGTGAGGTGGGTGGGGCTGAGAGAGCTCTGACACAAACTGCTCTTTTTCAAGGACAGCTGTGCCAGAGCTTGTGACTGACCCAAGGTCACATCAGCAGGTGCAAGTGGAGGAGTGGGGAATCAAACCCGGTTCTCCCAGATTAGAGTCCGCGCACTTAACCACTACACCAAACTGGTAGTTTTGCTGCTTGGCTAGTTCAAAGATCTAGTGGGGGGGGGCAGCCAAACTCCCCCCCTCCAAGATAGTTTTTTTCTGTCCCTTCACAGCTTTGCTCTAGTGGTGTTTAAATCACTGTCATACATCAGGAATGGGAAGAACAAACTGTTGGTATCTGACTACCTTCTGAAACTTTTGAACTAGGTCTTTTCTTACACAAACTCAGGATCCTGTAACATACGTTAACCCACACATTCCTCCTATGCATTCCTCCTAAGAGCTTGGGATTGCATACATTTTTATCCAAACAGCAGCCCTGGGAGGTAGGTTAGGTTCAGGGAAAGTGATTAGCTCAAGATCACCCAATGAAATTTGGGACCGAGGAAGGATTTGAATCCTAGTATCCCCAACCCTGATCTAGCTCCTCTGTGATGCTGGTGCTTTCCTCTGATGTTTTAAGTATTAGATTCTGAATTTGCATTTTTGCTCCCTGCGTTTTAAAAACCCACTGGTAGACCGGGAAGATTCTAGTACAACTAAACATTTAACATGCCAGACAGGAGTTAGCCCATGATTGTTGGAGCATCCAGTTGTTGCAGCATCAGTTCTGGTACTCTGCTGGAGACAGGATACTGGAGTTGTGTTCTGTTCCTGCAGTCCTAGAAAGAAGGTTAAGAAACTAGCTTCACTGCGCTTGCCTATGTGACTCAGCAAAAAAAAGAAGAAAAAAATCAGTCCTTTTTTGTAAGAGTATGTCCTCAGAGCCTTTCATTCTTTTTAGTAGTATAATAATTGCTAACTTCATCCAAGAAGAACAAATTGCTCAGTAACAAGGACACTTGAAAATCCCCCAATATCCTATTGCCACGGAAGGAAGGCAAGAGAGGGAAACGTGATCTGCTCGACTTGCATGACTCAGGAGTGGCCTGAGTGTCTTATTTTAGACCTCAGCAAGTTATGTAATCTGAAGGTCACAAGAATCAGGTTAAGCTTCTGGGTGTTTCCAAGGAGCTTGATGATGAAATTAGTTACAGACTGGTTTGGCGTGCTAAAGGTAGATGTGGCAAGCCAGTTGGTGATGTCATTTACCCAGGTGTGCTGATGCAGAGTCTCACAGAAAGGACTGTAATCGGAGAGGAAGACCATTCTTCCATTTGTGCATGCAATGGCCATAGCCTGTTGGCCAGCTCTGAGACATGGCGGGCCTGTGTGAACCCCTTGGGCCCGCCACAGGTCTTGTGACTGAGGAAAGCCTCTGCCATTGGTGTGAATGAATATCTCCATGATGTTTGCCTGTTCCTATGGTGCCACTAAAGGAAGGCCGAGCGCCAAAGAATAGATTCTTTTGAACTATGGTGCTGGAGAAGACTCTTGAGAGTCCCTTGGACTGCAAGAAGATCAAATCAGTCAATCCTAAAAGAAATCAACCTGGACTGTTCCCTGGAAGGCCAGATAATGAAACTGAAGCTCAAATACTTTGGCCACCAAATGAGAAGGGAGCACTCCCTGGAGAAGACCCTAAAGCTGGGAAAAATTGAAGGTCGAAGAAGATGGGGACGGCAAAGGATGAGATGGTTAGACAGTGTCATTGATGCAACGAACATGAAATTGAGCCAACTTCAGAGGACGGCGGAAGACAGGAAGGCCTGGTATGATCTGGTCCATGGGGTCGCAAGGAGTCGGACTTGACTGTGCGACTGAACAACAACAACATGGTGCCAGAAGTTCTAGGGGAAAAAATAGGTATTCTATCCATAGTTCTGTTTACGGAAGCACTGTGTCAGCGAGCTGCCATGAATTCCTATGTGACCCTGCGAACTCTGACTGCGGAGTTCCCCCCCCCTCCCTAGACTTCGCTTGTTCCTCATTGTTGCTCGTTAGGTGCATTCCTTTCCATGTACGCTGGACCAGCTTGAAACTAGATAACGCCAAGGTCGGGGCTGGAGGTTGACGGGGTGTGGAACTGCTTTAATTATTAGGCTTGAGAAACTGCAGTATGTTTATGTTATAGACCGTTATGTTCCCAGGGCTGGTTAGGCGGCAAAGTACCTGGTTTTCCCGCACGCGGGAATTGGCCCTATTGGGCAGGGTCATTTTTAAGTTTGTTTATCATGTTGCACCCTTGTAGTAAGTTTCATTCTTAACAATCCTGTTGTTCCTGATTCACCAACGCTTTTCAATAAATGCTACTTTGCTAACCCAAACGTGGATTTATTCGAATGACTGGAGGTCTGGACATTTCAGGATTGTTAAGAATGAAACTTACTACAAGGGTGCAACATGATAAACAAACTTAAAAATGACCCTGCCCAATAGGGCCAATTCCCGCGTGCGGGAAAACCAGGTACTTTGCCGCAGAGGATCTTGTCGGACCTGTTCAGAATACTGCTTGCTTTTCATCAAAAGCTAAGTAAAAACAATCCATGGGCGGGTGTGTCTTTTGGCTTTCAAAAAAACAGACACAGCAGGGTCGGTTATGCGGATGACAGCCGTGGTACATTGCTGCCAGAATCAAGAATGGCCAGGTATTGAAAAAGATATACTGAGTGGAACCGACCACTGGGTGAGCCGGCTTAGTAGGGTCAGTTTTTCCTCTTCCTCTTTTAACTTGGAACATGACAGTTCCAATAGTGGCTGTTATGCTTTGGAGATGACGGCGTAGCAGGTGAAGTTCTTCCATGCTTCTGTGGCTCCCTCCCTCCTGTCTCTGATCCCCAAATAGGGTTGCCAAGTCTACGTGGGGCCTGGAGATCTCCCAGAATTACAACTGATCTCCAAGGAACATGGATCAGTTCACCTGGAGAAAATGGCTGCTTTGGAGGCTGGATTCTATGATACTGTACCCTGCTGAGGTCCCCAAAGTAAGTTGCCGCTCACACAGTGACATTCATGGATCCATGGACATTTAACAATATGGAATTTGTGGACTTGGCGTGCAAATGTTGGGTGTCTTCAGGAGTTAAGTGTTTTACTGTGGCATAATTCTTCTTGGATGTACTCCATATTGTCAGATGTTTAAAGTGATAAGTTGGTAGGTATATATGCCCTAACAACAAAGAGGAGTGCATGGATGCATTAATAGCTTATATGATAAAGAGAGGATAAAGTCAAGCAATACAAGAAGAAGCAGTAGGTGTGAACGAGAAGCTCTGTCGATGGGTCATTGTGAGGCACTGTCTGCTGTGGTAACCTCAGTGGCCAGCAGGTGTCAGTGGTGCCTCACCCTTGCTGCTTTACCTCAGAAAAGAGAGGCAGAAGTAATTGTAAAGGTTTACTTCCCAGGCTAGACCAAATCTCATCCTATTTTGGAAGCTAAGCAGGGCTGGCCCTGGCTAGTATTTGGATGGGAGACCTCCAAGGAATACCAGGGCTGTGACATGGGGGTAGGCAATGACAAGTCACCTCTGAAGGTTTTTTGCCTTGAAAACCCTATGGGGTCACCTCAGCTGTGACTTGACGGCAAAAAGCAAAAGAAAAAAAAACAGGTGGGAGAAGATGGTGAACAGTAAGCCATTTCCATCTACAATATGCCTAAAGTTTACTTTGAAAAATCTGGGTTACCAGTTGTGCATAGTGAGGCTAGAAAACAATCACTGGGCAGCCCTAGTTTTAAAGACTTTGGCTACTCACTGTGTACTGATTGCTGATGTTTAAATGGTGTATGTTTGGCTTTTTAAGTTGTTTTAGATGCAGTGGTTTTGTTACCTGCCTGTTTTTTTTAATGTATGTTGTAAATTGCCTCGGTCCTGCCAATGTTCCCTCTAAGCTGAGTTAGTGTGAGCTAGCTCACAATTTTTAGCCTCCGGCTCACACATTTTTGCCTTAGCTCAGGAAGGATGGCTCCAGAGCAAACTAATTTATGCAGCAGCCAAATTGCCGGCTCACCACTTTAATGCCAGTAGCTTACAAAGTAGGATTTTTGCTCACAAGACTCCACAGTTTAGAGGGAGCATTGGTCCTGACCTGGGTAGCCCAGGCTAGCCTGATCGTGTCCGATCTTGGAAGCGAAGTATGGTCAGCCCTGGCTAGTCTCTGGATGGGAGGCCACCCAGGAAGACCAGGGGTAGGACCCAAAAGCAGGCCCTGGCAAACCACCTCTGGAACATCTCTTGCCTTGAAAGCCCTTTGCCATCAGCATAATTCAGCTGAGACTTGCGAGCAAAACAAACAAACATGCAAACAAACCTGTCTTGAACCCATGTTTGTGGGGAAAGGTGGCCTGGGAGGCTTTTAATTCTGCTGGTAAAGGTAAAGGCAAAGGTTCCCTTGCTTGAAAGCCAGTCGAATCTGACTCTAGGGTTGCGGTGCTCATCTTCGTTTCAAAGCCGAAGAGCCAGCGCTGTCTGAAGACGTTTCCGTGGTCATGTGGCCAGCATGCCTAAACACCAAGGCGCACGGAACGCTGTTCCCTTCCCACCAAAGTGGTACCTATTTATCTACTTGCAATTTCTTGCTTTCAAACTGCTAGGTTGGCAGGAGCTGGAACTAGAGTCGGGAGCTCACTCCATCATGTGGCACACTTGGGTCTCGAACTGCTGAACTACTGACCTTCCACAGCCTGCAGTTCAGCGTCTTAACCACTTGAGCCACCGCAGCTCCGCAATTCTGCTGGAGAAAGGGTCATCTGCTGATTCCTGCCACTGAAAGACTCAGAGGCTTCAATCATAAACACATAGCTGGCCACCTTCAGTGCCCTGAGATCAAGAAAGGGTGAGGAAGTGGAAATTTGCATAAGGGCAGCATTTCTTAAGCCCCGTGAGGGTTTAAATGACGGGAATAGATCAATATTTGGTTAGCTGACTAGCTCTAAATCCTCAGCCATGTCTTTCAGTGTGCTGCTTCTCCTATTGGCATCTCATACCGGTGAGAATTTGAGTTCGTTTTTATTGGTCTGAGTGGCTGATGACACAATTGGCTTGGAACGTTAGTTCCGTTTCCATGATTTCTCCTTTAGCTGCCTCAGTTTCTCAGAGACTGGGGTAGTTTAGATTCCTGTATTTTTTTAACAGATGACAGAAGAGGATTTTGATAGGGGCAGCAGCTTCTCCTGTCATTTGATGACACAAGAAGAAAACCCTCTTCTGAAATTACTTTAACAGTAAGACTCAGAAGCCTTCTCTCATATTACAAATGTGATGTGGCACTGTGATTTCCCTCCCTTTCATTCTAGGCTTCAGTTCTGAGGCAACGCCGCTGATTCAACCAGAGGACTATGTGTCGGTGGCTGTGGGGCAGACCACAAGTATCTCTTGTACTCTGGAAGGTGTGGAGTTTATCAGTGCCAACCACCCATCTTGGTACCGACAGAGACCGGGGAATCCTCCTCAGCCACTAATATACAACGCCAGGGAAAGACCCTCGGGGGTCCCTGACCGGTTCTCTGGAGAGACTTACGGGAACAGGGCAACACTAACCATTGCCAGGACCCAGGCAGATGATGAGGGAGGCTATTATTGTGCTGTGTGGCATAGCAGTGCGTCACACGCTGGTCCAGTCCAGTGCGGAAGTGAAACAAAAATTCTGTGTGCATCCGAGAGAGTCACACAAGCAAGTGGAAACAGGAAATGCACCAGACTGGTGTTAAGGGCACAGGTGTAGGAGCAGTAAAAATGCTGACAACTTTAGGAAAAGGTCAGTCTTAGGATTGCCAGCTGCAAGTTGGGGAATTCTTGGAGATTTCCTGGGGCAGGAAAAGGTGCAGCTCAAAACCACATTCAAATATCCTGGGCCAACGCTGTACTGACTGCAAAGTCACCTCTGGACGGCCATAAAACGGCCATAAATCTATGCTGGAGGTACTATGAAACCCGATGATCAAAGAAAGTGAAAGCAGCATGCAATGCAGAGGGTACCATAAAATCCGATGATGAAAGGAAGTGAAAGCAGCATGCAATGGAGAGGGGAATTTCTGTTCCAATGTGGGTTTGCTAAAGCAATGGAGGGAAAAGCCAATGCAGAATCGCCCTCAGTCTACTCTCCAAAGGAGCCACTTTCTCCAGGGGAACTAGTCTCTGGTGTCTGGGGATCTCCAGGCCCCATCTGGAGGTTGGCAGCTCTATTGTTGCCACATATTGTCTCAGCCTGGCTAATGTGGCTTGCTCACCACAACTAGAACAAAGGGAGAACCAGGTTCTATTCCCGTGCTCGCTGATTTGTAACCCGATGGAAGATTCTCAGCCTCTGAAGCTAGATAGTTCTGGTTTTGTTAACTGGCTGAAGAAAACAAGGGTTACAAGGCAGAAAAAAGTGTATTTTTTGCCCCCCTCATCACTTAGTTGCTAGAGGCACCCTGCTGCATCAGCGAGAAATTAGATATGGCTCCCAAATAGGCGTAACTCTAAAGTTGCCAGTCCCCACCCCCCAGACATGCTCCTGTGCCTGTTCCAGCAGCCTTGTAACAGAAATGTTAATCATCATTTTTTTGTAATTTCTATACTTAGGGTCTCTCTGATAGGCACAGAAACATGGTTAGTTTGTAACCTTGCAGCCCACCTTGTGCAGTGGAAGGCAGAGCAACAAATAAAAATGTAAAATAAAATAAAAATGTAAAAGAGCCAAAACTAATGATCAGGGTTGCCAACTGGCCTGGAGAAAAATGGCTTAATGGTATGTTATTTACCTCCATGCCCATTAAAAGCTTCAGCTGTCGATTTCTACACATTAAGCTGCTTTCCATGGGACAGGACATTTCCCCCGATATCCTGTTCAGACCCTTACACGCAATCCCAAAATTAATGAGTGTACAGCCCCCTTCATCATGGTTTCCAAGTTTGGGGGGAAGGAGTAAAGTCATGTGCTTTGTACACAGTTCTCCCTTGATGCATTTCAGCCAGGCTATGAAAGCTAAAAACTCTTACATTCATCCCCACGCTGGCTTAGAAGGGAAGTGAGTAATCTGTAGCAGCCAATGAGTTTTGAAGATATTTGCATACAGGGATACTTCTTGAGTCTGGGGGATTTAAGTGAAAATGATGGCGTTCCATCCAGAACCCTCTTTGGGCAAGGAAGTTGGGAATCTCTCACCATGGCCAGAGCTTCACTGCTCTTTCTGGTTCTGGCTAACTCTTGGGGTAGGATGGTGGCTCCATTTAAATGCCCAGTTAGCAAACTCTCTCTACTTTCCGTTTCCCACCGTTAAGAGACAACGGTTCTTGTGATCCTTCCAATCCACTTAACGTTTGCTGTTGATTTTGATTCCAGGTTGTGATGCCCAATTTCTGATGACTACACCATCCACTGATGGGGTTTAACTTGACTCAGCTGTCTTCTGTGTCAGCCTGTGTTGGAGAGACTGTTAAGATCTCCTGTACAAGAAGCATCGGGGACAAAGAGGAGTCGGGCAAGAGAGGCATGCAAAGCTCCTCCTTTTGTTTGCCGCCCTTCCTCTCAGCTGCTGTCCTCCGGTGAAGGCATGGGCTTCCTTCCAAGCTCAGAGCCTGCTTGCAGGAAGAGCAGTTGGGAAGGTGGCTGCAAGGAAAAGCAGTGGGCCAGCAGGGGTGAACTGGCTATTTCACCCATCGGGAAATCTCCCAATGGGCCACTGACCTAGAGGGCTGTTGGTGGCCAGGTAGAAGCAGAGCCAACCCCCAGCAACTCTGCCAGCAATAGGAATCAGCACCACCTCCCCTGTTGTCGCCATAAAGAGGAAGAAATGGATGAGCTAATGCTCACTGCTTAGGGTTGTCAACCTCCATGGGGCACCTGGAGATCTCCCACTATTACAATTGGACTCCGGATGACGACGATCAGTTCCCCTGAAGAATGTGGCTGCTTTGGAGGGTAGACTCTATGGCATTGTACCCCACTGAGGTCCCTCCCCTCCCCAAACCCCACCCCCAGGCTTCACCCCCAAATCTCCAGGAATCTCCCAACCCAGAGCTGGCAACCCTACCACCTAGGGTTGCCATTTCCCAGGTCTGGGTGGGGTATCCCCTGGTTTTGGGGGCTTCTGCCTGCTGCTGGCCAGCTAGCCGATGGGGGAAAGCCCACTCCCAAACAGTGATGTCCCCAACACAATGATAAAGGACTCACACGAGACACGGTCTTTTGAGGGGAGAAGAATCGGTCTGCTGCTTGAGGCAGCAAGAGTTTATTTTTATACACTCTGCTCTCAACATAAGATGAGGCTGGGGGTTACAATCATGAAGCAAGGGAAACCAGGTGCCCAGGCAGAATGCCTGGAATGCTTGCATAGCGTAGTAATTACTAGTGATAACAAGCTACTCCTGGCTCCTTAAGATGCTTGCAGAGACAAGATGTGCAAAGGTCAGGACTCTTAGTGTACCAGAGTCACTGATCAACCTTATGTTGACAGAGGCAGGATATAGTTAGAATCAAGATTGGTGTGCCATATCGTTGATCCTCCCCACACAATGACATCATGCAGAAGGGATGTCATCATGTTGGGGACATTGCACAGTAACACCCTGGTTTTGGGGCAAAACTTTATGGCTTGAGGGCAATTCTACCATCGAGTTTTGCTCTCAGACCAGAGCGTTGCCACACAATGTCCTGACGTGATGACGTCACTTTTGCGTAACATCATCCCATCGCAGAGACCCGCCCCACTCCCAGAAGGCTCCCTCCCACCCCCTGCTGGCCTGTTGACGAGACCTGGCAACCCTACCACCACCTCTGGTACTGCTGAGCTGAGTGGCCCCTGCAGCCCTGGCTTGTAGTGCCACAAGGGCCATTTAACTTGGCTTGTTCCAGGGCCGTTTGCCCTTCCCAATCCACTCCTGGCGAGAAAGGAAGTGTTTGGAGCCCCTTCCCACCCATGGCGCCTCCACTTTACATCACCTCACCTATCTGGCTGCATTGTGTAATGCCTCCAACTACCATCCTATCTAGTTAGCTCCTTAGGAAGGCTATGGAACTTAGATATTAGTCCTTTCCAATGACTCAGGCAATGGCAGCTCTTACTGATTTTATTCTTAGACGACGTCCTTGCGGAATAGATTAGGACAAGAGGGGGACCTGCAATACTCGCGGGGGGGGGG